CCAAGTGAATACGGCGAATAAGGCAGAGTTCTGTAGCTATTACTCATTTTGGTAGTTAGATGGCTTGTCTATACCCACCGCCCAGCTACAGCACTGCTTCCATCCGTTTCTGTCTCTCGCTAGCGTTATCCACATGTTGGTATTGAACTGGCAGCGACGTTCGCGAACAGATCCATTTCTCGTTCCCAGCTGAGAACTCAGCTGGTCCATCCGTGCAACAAACATGTCAGCCCATCCGGTTGAGGCCTCCCTTGACGTTTTGCTTCTCAAGGAGTTCAAAGTTCTTAGTGTGCATCTGTCGTCTGTTCTCATATTTATATGACCGACACATTAATTTCAGAGATTTATTCCGCTGGATTAAGAAGACGAGACATTATTCTCATATCTGAGCTGCAAAGTCCGACGAGATGTGAGTGCGTCGGTCGTACTTCAGAACACGTCGTTCCAGCGCTCTGTGGGTTGTACGAAGTGCCTTCGATGTAGCCACAGTGTCAGGCCACGTCTCTGCTTCCTAACAAAGCGCAGGAAGAACAGCCGAATCGAACAAGTGGGCTCGGAGCTCTAAGTCCGTCAGTTGGACAGTGGCCTTTAGAGGCTTGAAAGCACAAGCTGCTCGTTGCCTTCTGCTTAGTTCTTTTTTCAAGATTGCTCTCCATGTTCAACGTCGCTATACGTAAGAATACGTCTCTGAGATTGAAGAACCTTCTAATTCCATTTCCTGATTCTCGCAAAAAGGGTTTTTTATGAACTGAGTCCCTCTGGTAATTCGCAGTTCTATCCATTTCCCTACTTCGTCTTCTTTCAACGTCGTTTCCGCTTCAGTGATATACCTCGAGAAGAGTGCAATGCCGTCAGCAAAACGAAGAGTCGAGAGGAACCTCCCACCAACTCGTATATCTCTCTCGTCCCAATCCAGTGATTTCCATCACCCAGTACATGGCGACGTCAACAGCTTTGGCGACACGGTGTCGCCTTGTCGAACACCTTTTTGGTTTAAGCTGTAGCGCTGTAGATTAATTCTTGCAGCAGTCGGCTAATATCCTCACGGAAGATGGGTCCCCTCCTTGGTCGACGAGCGCTAAAACTATGACATTAGTCTCGATACTGTCAAATACTTTCTCATAGTCGACGAAGGTCAGGATGAAACGTACACGTACTTTCGGCAAACCTCGATAGTCCTCGATACCGTCTGGATGTAATCCACGCAGCTGAATTCCTTGCGAAATCCAGCTTGTTCTACAGGTCGGACTTCATTGTCCTTGTATGTAAAGTACACTCACTCCAGCGGGAATAATGGGGTTTGAAAAGGGTGTTGATGAACGAAGGAGAGCGAAGAGCTTCTTCGTGGTCGTGTTCTGGCGGGAAGATGCGGGAGTCCCGTCTTCGTTTCGTAATGCTGTCCGCGGAACAGGTAGTTAAGAAGGTCCCTGCGGTACTTTTTTGGACTCCTCCTTCCTTGCGGTGCTTCCAAAATTTTCGATTGCCTGTACTTTCGAAGATTGTAATGCTGTTCTGCAACTGGTACTGGCTACAGTCGCTCGAGATGTAATGCAGTCGGATCCAGCCTCAGTGCTCCTCTCCTTTCTAGCAAATC